GGTGCGGGCTGCGGTGTGGAGGCGGCGGGGGGGGCGATAGTCTTGCACGTCGGAGTCGTGGGGGGGAATTCTGCGTGCGGGTGGAATTAGCAGGCACGCAGCTTTCCTTGCAAGCGTACCCGGCCTGGGATTTCTGTTTTATTTTTAGAGTTTTTTGTTACGTATGTTTTGTTGACGTAGGTTTCAGCTGAAATCAGCTGAAATCAAGAAACAGCTGAAGTAACGGTCAGTAATTGAAAGGGAAAGAAGGGAGGACACCGGGCATGCAGAGCACGCATGAAACATGAAGGGAGAAGCAAGCGAGCATCCTTTTAGCAGAAGCAAATTTACAGCTGTTGTCATGTAAAGCTTCCGATGGTTGTTCCTTGGTGCACAGGAGTTCCACATGCTAAAACTTAACACAAGTCCGAAGGCTTGAATAACCCTCACAGATGCTGAAAACAAATTCCTAGTGATCGTAGCTGGTGACAATTTTTTGTCTTTGTTTTGGCTAGTTTTTATCTGTGCTGGTCACCTGAACTTCTTCCTGGCTCCTGGCAATTTGGTGCACTCAGAAGGTCCTGGGTTGCCCTGCTTAAACCCTAAGTTTCTGTTCCCACGTGGTACCCCTGTAGTGCTTTTTGTTGTGGTTTGTTCTTTTGTCTTTGCAGCTCTAGGAGGGAGTTGCAAGAAATTACTGGCTTTAGAAAGATCCCATTGCCTCTACCACCAAATTTGTCTCTCATAATACTTTTATGATAGAGGTATCACAGCTGCTTCATCATTAATGATATTAAAGTGATTCAGCTGTAGATGTTGAAATGGAACTCCTCTCCTTTTTCTAAGCCAAGATTATCAAATAAGCAGAATGCAAGCAAAAGCATGCTTTGTGGGGTGTTTCTTTTGGGAGGAAAAACTAATGATGCCACCAGGTATTTTTAGCGCAGTCCCATTTATTTATAAACAACATAAAAAGTTTTTTTTTTTTTTTAACTATAAATCAAACAATAAGAAATAATTTATTTGCTTCTAGCCCATGGTTTGATGTTTCCCCATATGAATTAAAAATTACACTGTCGTACTAGACAAGGCTGTGATGATTGCTGCTGTCCTTCATAGGCGATTCAGGCCACTATGTTCTTTTATTATTTGGACATTCACCAGACATGAATATCTCTTTGCATACTGCAGACCACTTTAATGCTGCAGAGCCCATCAGTTTAACTCACGCTTTTTAAAAGACTGCACAGCATCACTGATCAGTGAGAGTTAGAACCTGGCTCCAACCTAGAGCCATCATGATGAAGACCACGTGTGCTTCGGCACTGCTGTTTTCAGGTGCTCTCCGCTGTAGCCGTGGCCTCAGCAGACAGACTGGCCCCTTCCAGAGTCCAGAGAGAAGCCTCCTTGCACAGCGTTGTTACGGGTAACAGGAGGAGCGTTGACCTTTCTATGCAAATGCTTGCCGTGATGACAATAAAATATCTCAAGAGATTTGTTTGGGGCTGTAGTACTGCAGAGAAATACACGCTCCTGTAGAGCTGCAACGACTGGTTGTCCAGGCAGAGGATACATGTATGTATATGTATCCTACTGCCGGCCTCTCTTACAGGAGAAAAACTGCTATTATCTCCCTCTTGTCCACCACCTGGAGGCTGTGTGGGATGAGAACCTTGTGAACAACAGAAGTAATTTCATGGTGCCGTGCTTGCCGTCAGCTTTTCAACCCCAAGTGACAGGTATCGGGTGGTGCCGGCTTCCGGATGAAGACAGCCGCCCTCCCCTCAGTCACGCTCCGGTGCAGCACAGCTGAGGACGCGGAGTGAGTGCAGCAGCGGTGTAGCAACAAACACTGCAGACCATACATTTGTGTTGCTGCAAAACAGCAACTCAGGGAACTGCAGCCTCAGTCTCTCGGGATTTTAGGGTGGCTGATGATTGCACAGTTCTCAGCAATACGGCTGTTTGTAATGCACAGGCAGAACCTACTTAGTGCTGGTTTTATTCCTCCCCTTTCTGAGGCAGCTTCTCCTGGCTGCATCCTACAGTCCTTCTTCAGAGGTCCTTTGGCATCCTTGTCTTTTCTCATTATTCACTCTCCTCCCCCATAAAGGTGTATCTCCAGTTTGAGAATTGTTGCTGTATATAACACAACTTTCCTCGCAGTGGTTTTATGTATCTGCCAAGACAAAGCATTGTGGTATTGCATTGATTTATATTTTGTGCAAGAAGATTATAGTAACATCAGAAGCTGTGTCTGTAGTCCAGCTCTGGTTCAAAGAAGGGTGAGACAAACTTTTACAGTTTCAGGTGTGAAAAATCTCAGCTCTTTCACCTTCCCTTCAGGAGCACCCTGTATTGGGGTGAGGGTTTGGTTCTGCATTCATAGAAGGTGAAATTAATCATAATATGGACGGCTGGAAAGCATCTTCAAAGACCTCATCATTGATGGCACTCTCATAAGCAGGTGGTGGCGTGAGTGGCTCCAGTGGCTCAAACCTGTCTTCAACACCTTTCACATCATGGATGTCCGAAACAAATCGCTGCAGTCTTGGGGGCAGCACCAGCTGTAAGTGCATCCTGGAGCCTCTGTCTGTCTCAGAGGTGCGCCTTGTGTCTGATGCCACTGACACCCTGAGAGCCTCCACCATAATCTCTTCTTGGGCAGATGATTCAATAACCACGTTGTAAGGAGGAGGCTCATTCAGTGGTGAAGGCACTAAGCCTGGATTGGATGCAATCGTCCATATTGCTGGAACTGATGTGGTCATCACCTCCTCATAGGTGGGCGCTTCATAGGCAGCGTTCACCCTATGCGCAAAGAGAGGAATGGCAGTCACACTCGTTATTTTACTGCTTAGTTTATGCAGAGGCAGGTAGTCTGGATAAGGTAGTATAGGGACCGTGCTAAAATCAATAGATGGCACTGAGACAGCGTATCTCATGTGGTATTATCGTATGTGATATTCTGCCACTGGATCAGATCACTTGTCCAGCCAACTTAATGTCTTGCTTCCTTGTCTAGAGAAAGGCTCATGTGACCATTTTCCTACACTCCCCAGAATAAGTAAAATAACCCACACTGGGTTTCAGTGTCCTAGGCTTAGTTTGATCATAGAATTACAGAATATCTCAAGTTGGAAGGGACCTGTAAGGATGATGTCCCTCATTTCCTACCAGGTAAAATGTATTACTAAGAATGACTAAGTACTAATTATTTCTCAGAATAAAACAGGACCTTGCTTTTTTAATACATTAGCTCAATGTTCATCTATTTTTAGGAAGTGGAAAAAATTAAGAATTTACATTTAGTTTAAACAAGGACTAACTATTCTGTGTTAAAAAGAATGTCTGCATAAGAAAATATTACTTAGGTAATATTTTTAAATAAATATACACCAATTTTCTTCTAGTATGCCCCCAAGCTAGCAAAATCCAACATAGACTTCTTTTTATGTACTCTTTCTAAAAATAAACATGTAATAACATTTTTACTCTCCTACAACACCTTGTATTTGAGAATGTCAAGTCATTTTTGGATGTGGATAATGATTATCTGGATGATACAGACAAGGAAGCAAAGATACAAATGAAGTTAAACTCTTCAACTACAGTAGGCAAACTGGGGTTAAATTAGGTGATGCTGAGAACCTGCAAAGATACATGAAGCCAAAAAGACGTGGGAGTATTCAGAGCCTCTCAAAATTAGGGCTTATTAGTGTCAAGTTGGATTTTTAAGACTGGAAACACACCCAGTTACAGGTTCCTTTTAAAAAGTTTGCCAAGGAACAGTTGCTCTGGAGATAAGGTTTATAGACCTAAACCCAGGTAAGATTCAGTATTGCTTCACATTTTTTCTTTTTCCTTGTCTGACTCATTGTTTGGCAAGACTTGATTACTCAAAGAAAAATAAAACTGGGCCTGGATCTGTTTAACCTTGTAAATTGTTAGTGGATCAGTTCCCAGGGGGAAGAAAATATATATTGGACAAGATAAAGGACATGCGTGGCATAGGCATTTGCAACCTCCACCTGAAGAATGAAGGAAAACAACATAAAAAGAACTTTTGTCTTCTGGAATGGAGTCTGTGTTTGGTGCCCTAGAGGAGGGACAGAAAAACGGTATGTAAAATGGCCATATCTGAGGAGAGAGAGTTGAATAAAAGGAATAACCAGGTTGCTGCTTACCCTGCTTGGCTTTGTCTGCTTGGAGGTATCTCATTTGCGTCACGTCGGTGCTGATTCCTCAGGTAACACTCGACAAACACACTCAGCAAATAGCCGACCAGGCACACTCCCCCTACCCCTAAGAAGAAATAGCCTACTGGATTGATGTTAGATGAAATGGCCAGCATGGTGACCCCAATGAGAAGAGCAGCAGTGAAAAGAAGCAACAAGGCTTGGCGGATGTTCTTCCAGTGTGTCTCTAACCACATGGTGGTATAGAGGGTGGTAGCAGACAGTTGAGAACAGATGAGCAGTTAAGGGGACAGACATCTGTGGAAGACGGAATAGTTTTTTCAACATGAAACATGAGCATACAAACACATTATCAGTATTATGACTAAAATAAGAACATACATACTCGAGTACATGCCATCGTGAGAACATGCAGCTATGCACATACTTAATAAGCCTGGGAAATCTGTGCATAAATGCATGCCAATGTAATGTACTAGAATTTCCTATGTGAATGCATATTGAATAATGCATGGACACACAGTTGGAAGACATAAAATGCATAAGTAGACCATCAGCACTTATTGCCAGGCTTATCTAAAAAGGTCTAGCTTCTTAATAGAACTTAGAGCAGTCTAGGATGCAGATTTGAGGTTACTATGAAAACAAAGAACAACTTTAAAGGTTAATTCTAGGACATTTGTACATTGCATAATGAAGGTTCAGATACTAGTTCAGATCCTGGAAGAAAACTAGCCTTATTAATGGGGCTGTCTGCCCCAGTAAATTGAGCATCTAACTTCAGTGTAGCATTACAGCAATAACATTATTTTAGGTTCTAGATATAGCTGGGGTATATCTGTTTTTGCAAAATGTAGGCATGCGTTTGAATATTTGCCTATATCCTCAGTTCTTTTTCTGTTGATGTACACCGTGTTTTTGCACCATTCTCAAACATAAGAGCCCCTCCTGACCTCCATTCCAAACCCCATCACATGACAGTGACAGAAAAAAATTTCAAACCCCACAGTGACAGCTGTTGTCACTGTGTTCAGTCAATATGGAATGAATACCAGGGATCTGTGGTATTCAAGAATACCATAATCAGGGAGTCATCTTGCATGTGTTATACTGACCTACATATATCCCACTGTTTTGATGAAGACCCCTCTGAAGGAAAAAAGCATGACACAATGGGCATATTTTTTATGAATATGGATCTCCAAACAAATATAGAGTTTTATATAGTTCCATGTTACATTGTGTGCTTTTGCACACTGAATGCATTCCCTTGTTACAGCAAAAATAGATAAATGTATATATACAAATGCCAGAAAAAGAAACACATTCTTTCTGAACAGATTACCTTCTTGCTGCCTTTTTTATGGTCAGCTTTGAGCGTATACTTACCAGAGGGAGGTTTCGGTAGGTAGGAACAGTCATGTTTTAACTTCTCTCTTCATCACAAGGAAAAATGAGCAAGCTCTTTTGTCCCTGCTCCTTCCCCTTCTGACCTAAGGATGGGACACCAGTGAAAACTCTCCCTTCCTCCTTTTAACAATGAAGATTTCTTTTGAAACTAAAAGCCGGTAACTAGAATATGGGTGGGAAGATCCTGTTGTACGAGTTTTGCGTGGAAAACTAGAACCTCATTTTTCCAGGTTCTGAATCCAAAGCAATTTCTAGACGATCACATACCTTCTACTCTTCTGCAGCTCCTCTAGGTCTGTCCCACAAAAGCAGGAAACTCATTAGGAAAGAGGGCGGAGTGAGCAGTGGGGGAGTGCTTACCTGTGTCGGATCTGTTTGGTCTGCTTTACTTTAATGAGAGAAACTCTGCCCTGAAAATTATGTTCTCCCCCTGCGTTAGCAGAGGAATCTTGATCTCTGCCTCACAAAGCAGGAAGGACTGCTGGCCCAGCCCACATCACATGGCCCACGCTTAAATCTATTTATGAGTTCTGCAAACTGTAAATCCATACATTTTCCTATCCTGATTGGGTGCTGTTCATCAGATGTTGGTTTATGCCCTCTTTGATTTTACAAACAAAAGGAAAAAATAAGGCAATGGGTTATTATTTCACAGAGGGCTGGGTTAAAATCCTTCTTACTCCTTGATATATCTGGGAATGAGGAGTACTGATAAACAACAGAACAGGTACTGAATTACTTCTTGAAGTCTGTTATCATCTGAACCTTTAGTGTGTGTCTGAAAATCACTGGAAGTTCTCAAATACTATAGCATGAATTGCCTCCAGGAGCTGGCTGCAGCTCATGTTTGTCTGTAATAGGAAGAGGTCCTACTGCTAAATGTTTATAAATAGTACACAGGTTGGAAGATTGGGCCAACAAGAATTGCATGAGGTTTAACAATGATAAATGTAAAGTCATGCATGGACAGAATAATCCCAAGCAGCAGTACGGGCCAGGATCCGACTGACTGGGATGCAGCTCTGCTGAAATAGACCTGGTGGTCATGATGAACGGCAAACTCAACAGGAGTCAGCAGTGTGCCCTTGAAGCAGTGAAGGCAAGCTGTGTCCTGGGCTGCATCAGTAAGAGCATAGTCAACAAATCAAGGGGTGTGATTGTTCCACTGTACTCAGCACTTGTTAGGACACACCTGGAATACTGTGTACACCTTTGGTCCCCTCAATTCAAGAGAGAAATTGAAAAATTGGGTATGGTCTGGTGAATTGCTGCCAAGATTTGAGGGTTGGGGAATTTTGACAACTTAAGGAACTGGGTACAACCTAGAAGGCTTGGGCAGATGGTGAGTGTCTACTCACAGTTTTCCAATGTCTAGTAGGTAGTTACAGAGAGGATGGAGGTACTGTTCATGAGGGTACATGATGACAGGACAAGAGGCAATAGGAAAGAGGGTAAGTGCCTCTGGATATAAGAAAAAAAGTCTTCAATGTGTAAACAGTGAAACATTGCAATTACTTGCCCAGAGAACTGGAGGAATCATCTTGCCTGGAAATATTTGAGACTCAGCTGAGTCTAAAGCCCTACTTTCAGTAGGAGATTAGACCAGATGATCTCCCCTTCCAGCCTAGACTTGTCAACGTTTCTATGTTTCTAGTATTTTTCCCTTATACCTGCCTTTTTGGCTGCTGACAGATAAAGGACTTTCAGCTCTGATTGTTATCCGTTCTTCATTTTCAAGGGAATTCCTTTGAGGATGGCAGACTTAACATTCATGTAAAGAGGAGGAAGTCAGGTTTCTGGTGTGTAGTGTGTGATTTTGCAAGACTGTCATTTAAATGGGAAAACTGATTTGTTTCGTACAGCTCTTTCCATTTTGGGGTTGCCTAGTGTTGAGAACACCTTAAGTACTAAGGAAAATTTGACAAAACTGGTTTCACAGCCTCTCTGCATGGAAAGCATGACTGACTTTGGTGGAATCTGGACGCCTCAGTACTTCCTTCTAACCAGGGTAGCTGGTAGTTGTTAGAACTGTTCCTTACAGATAAAAGATTTATATTCTACTGGGTTGAGGAAGGAATTAAAATATACTGCAGGCCCTGGCTAAGTGTTGTTTACTGAGTTATTGTAATAAAAGAGCATCGCTACTATAAGAATTATTTTCAAAGATGATGGTTCTACTTTTTAAAGTAGCGAGTGAAAGTGTGGTTTGACAAGGCAGCTAAACAAACCTAATAGATAATTGCTGTGGAATATGGCAGTCCTTCCTCCTTCCTGCCTCTTCTCCATCTCCCAGCTGTCAAAGCCCATCCTCCTTGCAGTGATTCTAGTGCTCAGCTGATGTCTTGCTGAGCCACATCAGCTATCTCAGCTAGTGGGGAAGTATTTACATTTTTCCAGAGTGAATTAGTGGGCTGAATCTAGTCATCAAAGTATTGTCCAACTAGATCTCCACTCAAGGGAAGCAATGGGAATGCATCGCTAGAGTGGTGGAGGGAAAGGGAAGAAAAGTGAGAATAACTTCCAGAGCTGCAGCGAGCGCAGTTTGATCAGTTCAGCCCAAACCATTGGAGCAGAAGGAAGTTCTTCCTTGTTGGACTAAGTAAGCCCTGCAGAAAGGTGTAGAATCTAAGACCCACCTTGTCCTCAGCAAATCCTATTAATTATATCAGGGATTTCCAGCTCAGCCTGATGACTTTAGGCAACTCCCAGCTCTGGTAAGTACACTGACTATTGTGGAATTCCCCCAACAATCTGACTGTTGTTGAATCCCCCTTGTAAGTACCTACAGAAAGTACTTATCCTTCTGTAGGCTATGTAGAGGGAGCAGACACACTTTGCTTGTCTGCACATTCTGCTGTGGAGAGTAGGCACATAAAAACTGCTTTGGGGCTAGACCTTTTTGCTAAGTTAGGAGAAAGTCAGAAAGGTGAAAAAAGTCTTCATTATTTGGTGGAAAACTACCTCTGTGACTGGAAAGGCTATATTTGATTTGTGGATAGATAGAAAGATATAGGTTTTGCTGAAAATTTGTATAGTAGTTTTGATTGATGCACCATTTTTTAAAAATATTTATAGACATAGTTGTGAAATATCAGGATGAAAAAGACTAAAAATGGTAGATATCTCTGCTGCATTAGTTGTTGCTTGTATTACTTCAGTTTATTTCAGTTGAAGTTCAGAGTAACTCCTATATATTTTACCCGTGGAGTTGCATGGATGACTGGGCTGAATCTTTAGAAATGATTTTTATGCATTTACAAGAATGATATTTTGCCCTGCAGCTGTGAATGCATTAGTTGAACATGTTTATGAATGATGGCTTTGTGGATCTAAGGGTACAAAGCAGGATGAACTTCTATGAACTAACCTTTGCAATATGATTTCTAGCAATGCAGTGCTTCCATGTGAGGTCTTTTGGCATTTTTGAAGGACTTCTGAAATTTTTATCTATCTGCCATTTTTATTATCTCTGTAGTCTGGTTCAGACTGTCATTGGTTACAGTGTGTGTGGGTCCATAACAAAGGAAAATTGATCACGTAGCTCCATCAGGAAGTTCTTGGTGATGACAAGATTTAAAAAATGCAGAGGGGCTTGGGAAAGGCCTGAGAGGTATCACTCTTGTGAAACAAGGGGTAGAAGTCAGGGAGAGTAAAGGACATTTATACTGTCATCCTAAACTCTCTCCCTTTCATGTGCAGTAGAAATGTTTTTTATAGAAAACTTTCTGTTCTCTGTTGTTCAATCATGCTATGGGGACCAGACTTCATTTAACAATAAATTTCTTCAGTTGAGACCACAGATTTCCTTTTTTCATTCTTTCTTTCT